ATAAAATAAAATGTATTTTTTATCTTTGGCTTTCAGTAGTTTCACTATTGTGTATTTAAGTGAGGATTTAATTTTTGTGGGGTTTTTTTTTTGTTTTTTATTTGAGACAGAGTCTCACTCTGTTGCCTGGGCTAGAGTACTGTGGTGTCAGCCTAGCTCACAGCAAACTCAAACTCCTGGGCTCAAGTGATCCTTCTGCCTCAGCCTCCCGAATAGCTGGGACTACAGAGGCAAGTGCCATTATGCCCAGCTAATTTTTTTTCCTCTATATTTTTAGTGTCCGATTGATTTCTTTCTATTTTTTTTTAGTAGAGACGGGTCTCGCTCTTGCTCAGGCTGGTTTGGAACTCCTGACCTCGAGCAATCCGCCCGCCTCGGCCTCCCAGAGTGCTAAGATTACAGGCATGAGCCACTACTTCCCACAGACTTTTATTCATTAGTCATACTTTTAAGCATTTTTAATTATTTAAATGAGCTTATTTCATGATCTGGTCATTTATAAAACCTAGTGTTTTTGAGTATGATTTCTTAGATTCTTGTTTCTGCTAAATCTTAATCATTTTAACGTACTTCTCCTCTTCCTTGAAACTTCATTGCTGAAAATAATTTCAATCTTGTATTTAAAATGTTCTCCTCTAGACAAGATTTGTTGTTGTTTCTGGCAAGATGTTTTGGGCAATAGTAAATTGTGAACACTTTAAAATTTCAGCTTGAGTTTTTAGAAGATGCAAAAGGAGTATAAATTCTGGTTCCAAACTCAAGCGAGTGCCAATCTGTTGGTGGGAATTCCCAGAGAAGATTTTCTTTTCTTCTTCATCTTCCAAATCCAAGACCAAAGCCAGTAAGTTTCTTTATCAATATCTTTTTCAGTATTGGGTGGAGGAATCTATTAATAGTTCTACTGAGAGTATTGCCTATCAAATGTCCCAACTATATGCACAGTTCTGTACTCTGACCTCCCACCTTACTTGAGCTCTAGGCTTGTCTCTTATTCCTTCAAGCTTATGGCTAGTGAAAATTCAAGATTTAACCCTTTCCTTATACCATAAACAAAATTCAATTCCAGGTAGATTATAGAGTTAAATGTGAAAGGCAACTAACACAGAAATATATTTTCATGACTTTTGGATAGGGAACTATTTTTAAATTAGGACACAAAAAGCAGTAGGCATAAAATTAAAAATTAATAAATTGGACTACATTAAAATTAAGAAATTTGACTGGGCCCAGTGGTTCACGCCTGTAATCCTAGCACTCTGGGAGGCCGAGGCAGGAGGATTGCTTGAGCTCAGGAGTTCAAGATCATCCTGAGCAAGAGTCAGACCCCATCTCAACTATAAATAGAAAGAAATTATCCACACGAGTAGAGTTTATATGAAAAAAAAAATAGAAAGAAATTAGCCAAACAACTAAAAATAGAAAATAATTAGCCGGGCATGGTGGCATGTGCCAGTAATCCCAGCTTCTCGGGAGGCTGAGGCAGTAGGATTGCTTGAGCCCAGGAGTTTGAGGTTGCTGTGACACAGGCTGACGCCATGGCACTTTAACCTGGGCAACACAGTTGAGATTCTTCTCAAAAAAAAAAAAATTTAGTCAAAGTCCATGTAGAGTAAAAAAAAAAAGAAAAAAAATTGAGAAATTTTATTAATTAATAGATACAATTATGAGAGTGAAAGGCAGTCCACTTTTGTTGGGGGAAAAAATATTTGCAGCCCATATAATCAATAAAGGGCTTGAATCCAGGATGTAAAAAGAACACTTACAAATCAGCAGCAACTCAATAGAAAAACTAGACAACAGATTTGATTAGTACCAGTAAAGAGGATACCCAAATGACCAAGAATCATGTGAAAATGTGTTCAATTTCACTAGTAGTCACCAAAATACAAATTAAAATCATAATAAGATACCATAATGCAGTATCAATGATACAGAGTAACGGCATATTTATAGACTGCTGGTGGGAGCCTAATTGGTACAATCACTTAAAAAAATACTATTTGGGGACTTTTTTTATTTTTAAATTTTAAATAATTTAATAATTTTATATGCTTTCTTTATTCTTTTTTTTTTTTTTACCTGTATTTCTCAGTTCTAACTATTTGGGGACTTTTGGCTAGCTGCAAATAATAGAGGCTACATAGTAAAGAACCTCTCAAAAATCTCTTTCCTAAACAATGTGAAATAACATCACAGCTATGAAAATTCTACACAAATTTATGCATTCAACATCAATTAAAGGTCTTTCTCTACTTGTGGAGAGTGACCCACCATTCCTCTCTGGAATGGAAAAAAAAGTAAAAAATAAATAAATAAATAAATAAACATCAATTAAAGATAGAGAATGCTGAAAATACAAGATCACTATAAGTAAAGACAGAGAGAGGAAAAAAACCCAAATCTCTGGGACCCAGTCTCACATTCTCTCATTCTATCCCTGCCCTGCCAGAGCTTTATAGTGCGCAAAGGATGACTGATAAAAACCACAGGAAAAGGCCAGGCGTGGTGGCTCACTCTCAAGGTGAGGAGTTCGAAACCAGCCTGAGCAAGAGCGAGACCCCATCTCTACTATAAATAGAAAGAAATTAATTGGCCAACTAATATATATAGAAAAAATTAGCCAGGCATGATGGCACATGCCTGGTCCTAGCTACTCCGGAGGCTGAGGCAGCAGGATTGCTTGAGCCCAGGAGTCTGAGGTTGCTGTGAGCTAGGCTGACGCCACGGCACTCACTCTAGCCTGGGCGACAAAAGCAAGACTCTGTCTCAAAAAAACAAAACAAAAAAACGCAGGAAGGACAGAGGAAGGATACTAGCATAGGGCCAGAGAGTGAACTGGCGCAATCACAAGAAAAATTAAATTCACCCCAAGTCTTAAAATACTAAAAAAGGAATTGGGCAGATCAGACTACAAATTTCACAGAAGAGATTTCAAAGTTCAGGAGTCCTGAAAGGTCAGCTGTCATGAACAGTCAAACATCAGTTTTAAAGAGACAGATGCTTTTTCCAGATATAGTATTTAAAGAGACAGACATACAAATGGCTGGGCACAGAACTCTGTTCAAAGGGGCACAATTTAAAGGGGCAGTACTCTGGAAGAGGGAAAAAAAGCCATAAAGAAGGAAGAAACACCCTTTGGCAACTGGGCAATTAAAGGAGGGAAAAAAGAGAGCTACAATTATCAACACAGTATGGTATTGGTGTAATGATGGATAAATACATGAATGGAACAGATTAAAGTATCTAGAAAAAGACCCACACGTACGTGGTCAATTGATTTTCACACAGGTACAAATGCAATTCAGTAGAGAAAGGATAGTCTTTGTAAAATTGGTGTTCAAATAATTAAATATCCATAAGCCAGAAAAAAAGAACTTTTATCCATATCTTGCACAATATAAGAAAAATAACTCAAATGGATCATAGACCTAAATATAAAACCTAACACTATAAAACTTCTAGAAGAAAACAGGAGAAAATTTTGTGACCTTGGGTTAGGCAAAGATTTCTTAGATATGGCAACAAAGGTATAAACAATATAAAACAAATTGATATAATGTATTTTACAAAGATTTAAGATTTGGGCTCCTTGAAAAATACTGTTAAGAAAATGAAGTTGGAGGCCAGGCGCGGTGGCTCACGCCTGTAATCCTAGCACTCTGGGAGGCCGAGGCGGGTGGATCGCTCGAGGTCGAGAGTTCAAAACCAGCCTGAGCAACAGCGAGACCCCGTCTCTACTATAAACAGAAATAAATTAATTGGCCAACTAATATATATAGAAAAAAATTAGCCGGGCATGGTGGCGCGTGCCTGTAGTCCCAGCTACTTGGGAGGCTGAGGCAGGAGGATCACTTGAGCCCAGGAGTTTGAGGTTGCTGTGAGCTAGGCTGACGTCACGGCACTCACTCTAGCCTGGGCAACAAAGCGAGACTCTGTCTCAAAAAAAAAAAAAAAAAAAAAAAGAAAATGAAGTTGGGGCCAGGCGTGGTGGCTCAAGCCTGTAATCCTAGCACTCTGGGAGGCCGAGGCTGGAGGATCACTTGAGGTCAGGAGTTCGAAACCAGCCTGAGACCCCATCTCTACTACAGGCATGTGTCACCATGCCTGGCTAATTTTCTCTCTCTCTCTGTGGTATATATATTTTTTTTTTTTTTTTTTTTTTAACCAGAGTCCACTCTGTTGCCCGGCTAGAGTGCCATGGCATCAGCCTAGCTCACAGCAACCTCAAACTTCTGGGCTCAAGCAATCCTACTGCCTCAGCCTCCCGAGTAGCTGGGACTACAGGCATGCACCACCATGTCTGGCTAGTTTTTTCCTATATATTTTTAGTTGTCCAGCTAATTTCTTTCTATTTTAGTAGAGACGGGATCTCACTCTTGCTCAGGCTGGTCTTGAACTCCTGAGTTCAAATGATCCTCCTGCTTCCCAGAGTGCTAGGATTAAGGTGTGAGCCACCGCGGCCGCCGGCCAACCTTAACTGCTTGGGCTCTGTTTGGTTGTTATCTTATTTAAGCTCTTTGCTCATTATCCTTGGATTTCTCTTAGCCAATAAACAATTCCCTTGAAGTGTTCAGGGGAAATTAAAGGAGCTAGAATTCATTTTTTTTCTTTAGATTTCACCACTATATAATACAAAGGAGCTAAAATGCGAACACAATCTATTTTCCATCTGGTTAATCACTGGGAAAAAATGAAAACTATTGGATGAAATTAGATATTGGTATTAGCTATAGACTTTAATTTTTCATTCTATCCCAATCAGTAGCACATGATTTATTTCTTAAATAGCTTGATTCATTCTGATATGAAAAGATTAATATCAAATTGGAGCTTGCCATCCACAGAGTCAGAGTCAGGTCAAATTGTCATTTGAAGTCAAAGTTACATAAACACAGTCAAATATCATGAAAGTAAAGTAATCTCTAAAATTAAAAAATGTATCTGGTCATGGAAAGTTAAAAAACCAGTTACAGTATGTAGACTTCTGATTTACTACCTACCTCTCTGACTCGACGGAGCTGTGCTTGCTCAATCTTAGAGATGATGGTTATTACAGATAATGGGAGTTCAATTTTAGGGACTACTGGAACATCAAGGTCATTTTCGGGCTTTCTTCTCACAATGGCAGAATACTTGGCTTCTTTTTCTGATTCAGTTTCACTGTCCACCTCATTTTGCGTGTCCACTGGCATTTTGAAAATTTAGCTGATTTCTTCCTTTTCACAGAATATAGGCAAACGCTAGTAAAGGTGTCCACTAGGAAGCTAGAAGTCTTTCCTGCTCCCAGAAGTTGTGGCGTATCCTGCTACTAACTGGTTGCTAACCATGGTATAACGGTCCTGGTGATGTCACAATAGACCCATTGCGACATTATCATGGACTCCAACATTTAAAGTGTGCTTACCAAATGCAGAGAAATAGGCATTCCATATGCTGTGATGGTAGAAGGGTAAAGGGGGGCAGGAGGGTAGGAAAGAATAGACAACAGGAAAGCTAAAAGATATAGAAGTTATAGCCTTGCTTAAATAAGCTTAAAATCTAGGTGTTAGAATTCAAGATCCAGTGTATCAAATGTAACTCACAGTTCTTCTCTCTTATTGGGGTTTTGCTTAAGTACTTTAAGATTGTAATGGAATAACTGTATTACAACTTCCTCAGATGTCCCTTAATATTCCCTAGACATGTAGTAACTTGAAAGATATCTGAATGAAGATCACACTCTTTGCACTGCCCAATTACTTGTTTTTTCAAGGACCTGACTGAAGAAGGCTTTCAAGTTACACAGCTGGCTCAAGAAATTGCAGGGAACACTAGAGGCTACTTTCTAACTGAATTAAGAATGGTTGGTGCTTTGGCGCAGCTCCTTTGATTGCAGAGGAGGTGAAAGGATTTAGGATACTGAAGCAATTAAAAGACAGGGTGGTTTTGTTTGCTGTGTAGCTTTATTTATTTTATTTTATTTTTTGAGACAGAGTCTCAACTGTTGCCTGGGCTAGAGTGCCGTGGCATCAACCTAGTTCATAGCAACCTCAAACTCCTGGGCTCAAGCAATCCTCCTGCCTCAGCCTCCCAAGTAGCTGGGACTACAGTCATGAGCCACCGTGCCTGGCTAATTTTTTATATATTTTTATTTTTATTTATTTATTTATTTTGAGACAGAGTCTCGGTTTGTTGCCCAGGCTAGAGTGAGTGCCGTGGTGTCAGCCTAGTTCACAGCAACCTCAAACTCCTGGGCTCAAGCAATCCTCTGCCTCAGCCTCCCGAGTAGCTGTGAGTACAGGCACTCGCCACCATGCCTGGCTAATTTTTTGTATTTATATTAGTTGGCCAATTAATTTCTTTCTATTTATAATAGAGACAGGGTCTCGCTCTTGCTCAGGCTGGTTTTGAACTCCTGACCTTGAGTAATCTGCCCGCCTCGGCCTCCCAGAGTGCTAGGATTACAGGCGTGAGCCACTGCGCCCCGCCTGTAGCTTTATTTTTTAATTAAAAAAAATATAAAAGTACACAAAATAATATAACAAATAGCTATGTGATCATCACCTAGAATGAATAAATATTAACATTTTATCATTTTTTGCATCAAATATTTTTAAATAAAAGAAAGCATTAGAGAAAAAGTTCCCTTTATTGTCCTCCCCAGATTCCTTCCTTCCCCTCAGTACCATTTGAGAGGCAATGACAATCATAAATTTGATGTATTTAGTGTATTAGATGTGTTTAGTGTATTTTTATATAGTTTTACTACAGGTACATATATTCATAAACTATATAGTATCATTTTATAGGTTTTAAATTGTGTACAAATTATGGATATATAGATTAATTTCTCTGCAAGATCATCCTGTGTTGAGTTCTTGTTGTAAACATTGTAAAACTAGTCCTATGTTGAGTCCTTGGTGTAAACTTGTAAAATTAAACTATTTATGTGTTTCAGTCCTTTAGAGAAATGGGGCAAGGGGATCATAAAGGAGCTATCTTTTAAGGATATTACACTTCCAATTATTTTACCTTCCCTGCTCATTAAGATCTTATTGTCTAAGTTATTTCTTCCTTTATGTTCCCAAATCACTTCCTGAACTTTCTATTATAGTACTTATCTCATTGAAGTGTAACTATTTATTATTTGTTTACATCAACTAATTGGTGAATATCTCAAAACTGGATGCTATACTTTATTTTTGTTTTTCTTCACATTCTTCATCAATTCTTCTACAGAAAATGTCTAAAATTTGGAGATCCATTACAGTTTCAGATTCTTCTCTTGATGAAAACTTTTCTAAGCCTCAGAATACTTTCTTTGATTTTTAGACCAACCTCTTCTCCCATGCCCTGCAGTAATAAAACATTACTCTCTCCTATAAATCACAATTAAGTCTATTTACTCAAAGTAGTTCATAATGTTCCCAAGGACAAAAATTAAGAATTATTTATTTTTATAAATGTGGTCTGATTAAAATATTTATCATTATTTAACATTTGTTGACATTATCAATTAACCTATTTAAGTACTTTATTGATAATAATAGATTATGAGATCTTTAAATAACTGTCCCTTGCATTGAATATTCCAGTAGGCATTCACAAAGCAGCCTAAATCCTTGTCAACTGAACTAATTTAGCATTATTGCTCTTCTTTCTCTCTTATATTTTTCATGCAGCATGGACTTCATCAATCAGCAAATGGAAATGAAGGCTTTTTAAAGCAAAATTTTAAATCCTTCTCCTTCTCTTTCAATTTGACAAACATTTGTTGAAACACTACTATGCAGCTGCCATTATCCTAATCTAAACTGAAGAATTGAAGAATACATGATAGGGTTCCTGTGAAGAAACTAAAAATTAAAAAAAAAATTTAAGATAGAATATAAAAAATCAAGGGCTAACAAGGGACATGAAGAAGAGATCTGAGGGGAGCAGAGTCTTTGGAAAAACCTATGGAGAGAGAAGGTTGATTGACAAATGACGGCAATCCTGATAGGGAAGACACCTTGAGTCATGGCTTTGGAGGTGAGTGCTTAAAGAGTTTGTATCTTAGGGGAAAAGTAAGATTGAGATGAATTTACAGGAGATTAGGGTGGGCCGACATACAAATATCAGCCATTTGATGGTGGAATGAATTTGGTATGTAAGCGAGAAAGTGAAGAAATTTGGTAAAGCAAGAAAGATTCATGGGATCAGAATGGGAAGGTCTTGAAAGCAAGTAACAGCGGTTTGGTGAAAATGAAACTTTCACTTTAGGAAGATTTTTAAAACAGTAGAATGGGAAAACCGTTGGAGAAGATCAAGACATGATTATTTTAAAAGATGAGTGTCTGAACTAGGATGCAGAAGTAGGACTCACAAATGAGGGATATATGTATTGCTTTAGATAATAAGGAGTTTGGATCATCTAACAAAAAAGTAGAAAGGTAATTTTTTAAAAACTGTTTTTATTGTGTATTTTGGATTTATGGCAGAACATCAATGAAGAGGCTATCCAGACTAAGTATTAAGTAGCTTTATGTTAAGCTAAACGGAGATGCGGGTACCTGATCCAGGTGAGCAAGAGGCAAAGTTCTTTAAAGGTCCTAGACGGCTCCTTCAATTGTAAAACGGGGATAATATTTATTGCACAGCATTGTTTCGAGATAAATTCACGTAAAATGCTTAGTGTTGAGCACATAGTAAGCACGTAATATATAGTAGCTGTTACTAAAATACTTACTACTAATTCAGCTTTTTTCCTTTCCACTTCTTTCCGCGAGTCACCACATTTTCGGCAGAGTTGGGGGTTTGTTCAGCACACTTCGCACAAGATCGGCTTTTTAAAATCAGATGTATATTTTGAACTATGAAGACTGCGGAATTATTAGAGTTGTGGTAGCTAGCTGTTTGGAAAGTGATAAAATGAGTCAATAAGATATTTACACACCCCCATGACACAGAATGGTATCTCCTTGCGATCACCTCCACCCCCCTCCAACAGAGAATAGTACATTCCACATATCTGCTGGAAAGAGCAGTGCAAGAGTGAACTGAGGGCTTTCTCTTCTCCCGGAAGCAATTTTTCTCTAGAACCGGAAACAGTTGCCGTTTCAAGGGAGGTGGGACTGGGCGGGTCAGGCCGCGGCGGCTGACGGCGGGGGAGGAGCCGGGTCCACTGCCGGGTGGAGGGGTAAGGCGAGTGTCCTTATCCTAGCAATTGGTGCTCAGGCCTGTGAGCTAGTTGGAGTCGCGGCGGCGGGAACGACTGGGCCGAGCGGAGGAAGACATGTTGCTTTTCGTGGAGGTGAGTGGATTTGGTAGTCTCGTCCTGCTCTGAGGAGAGCAAAAGTGTGGAGGCGCCGGCAGGTCCCACCGCCATGTGACTTCCCAGGCCGTACACGCCGCGGAACCGGCAGATAGGCTGACACAGCACCTGGGCCGTGCAGGCCTGCGGCTCCACTCTGCGCGCTCTCAACCCTTTAGGCAGCTGTGGGAGGTGAGGCCTGTGGCGGGGGAGAATGGAAGGTGGAGAATCGAAGGCTTGTCTGGGGTGGCGTGAGGATCAGAGGAAGGGGAAAGTGTCCCAAATGGACCTCCTGAAGGAGGCAAACAGGCGGGGGTGGGGAGGCGGAGTCTGCCCGAGTGAAGAGTAATCAGGTGGGCGCGTTCTGGAGGCGGGGGGTGAAGCGAGGCCTCGCGGGGCCCTCTGGGAGGGAGGCGAGCAACATGTGGGGCCGCGGAGGGAGGAAGGTGAAATGCGGTAAGTGTTTTGAAAAGAAAATTGAGAACTTCTTTTTAGCAATCTCCACCAGATTTTGTTTGGTCCCTGACCCTATGTCTCTGGAACGTTCTGTGGGTGAAAGTGAGTTAGTCTGAGCCGAGGAGAAGCCAGTAGGGCTTGGAAGCCTTGAAAGGCACCGCTTTGACCTTTTGTAAAAGTTACTCAGGCAGCGGCTGCGTGATGTAGGGCTGGTTTGTTAACCGATTAAAAGCCCTTTACAGGGAAAATTCCAAGAATGAGAGAAACTTACTCCAGGAAAAGCCGTTTTCTGTATTGTTGTTTGAACAATAGAAATACTTTTATTACTTTAGAACGTCTGGTGTTGGTCTATTTTAGATTTCACGGTAGTGGATACCTGCCTTACACAAATAAAAAGTTAAATTTCTCTTATTTCGGTCCTCCTGTATGCAGTGAGCATCAGCTGACTGCCTGGCTAATGCTTTGAGTAGATTCCAGATCATATTGTTCCTACATTGTGAAAACGTCAAACTAGCAAAACTGCAGACTTCGCAACTTGGCATTTGTTAACTATGCCCATAAAAAGAATCTTTTCAATGAGAGAAGGAATTTACAGGTTGTATAATGGATCCAGGAGCTAGGCCAGCCTATGGCGGGTTTTTTCCTGTAGTGGTAGGAAATCTCACTCCATAATAATCCAGCATAAAGTAAATAAATGATTTTCCTTTTTTTCCTTTAACTGACATTATGTAGCTGATGAGTTGAGATCTTTAAGTTATTTTTTTATTTTTTATTTTTTTCAGTTACCTACTCCAATGGATTTAAGTTATTTTTTAAAGAGTGCTATCTTAGAGTATATCCAGCGTTAATAGTAAAGATTGGAACATTCCAGACAAGTTATGAAAAGATTTAAAATTACTGAAGTCATGCTGTTTGCCATTTTTATCCTCCTTGCTTTCCTTTCACAGATTAAGAAATCAGACATGATTTTAAGCAGTGCCAGTTTGTTTTAGGAATGTTATGCTATGCAGTATCGCAGGTTTTAAGTGTGTATGTGTTTTGCTGGGCAAAGGAAGGATTGTGAAGTTTGATTTGAATCAACATGAATTCCAAAATATTTTGATTCCTCTGGCTTTATTAAAACATGAACTTTAATAATAGCTTCATTTATTGTTTAAGCTGGGTCCTCTTCTGTCTAAAGCAACATTGCAGTGTTTTACAGATGAGAAAACTGAGGTGGAAAGGTTAAGTAACTTAGTAAAGCAGTGGTACTGGGATTTAGATCCAGGTCATTCTGCTGTCAAATCATAGACAGTCTTTTAGCAATTCAGGCCTGCCTGACTCCCCTGTTTAGACAAACTCTACCATATCTCTCACTACATTATTTTATTTAAAGTTAATATCTCCGTTAATCATTTTCTTTGTGAATCAGTATGTCGTTCTTTGTTTTTCTTGTATGAGTTTCATTGAAAATTAACTGTCATTAAATATTTGGGGCTGAATGTGTGGTATTAAAATCAGTCAAAAACAACACATTGGTCATTTGTTATTTTGTTAACTGATATTTGATCCTTATAAACTCATGATTTAGGAATTGTTCTCAATGAGGGAACCAAAGCTCAGAAGTTAAATGTCTAAGGTCATTCAAGTGTAAATAATGTGGGGACTAAAGTCTGAAGTCTAGCTTTCTAGAACATGAGTCTCTGGCTCCAAAATTTACTTTTGCACTTTCCTTTAAGCCAAGAGGTATTTTTTGTTGTTTTTTTTCTCAATAATTTTTCCCGAGATAGGTCCACACATCATAAACCAAGAGTTCTTAATCTGGTTTTCTTGGATAGAATTGAGGAAGTATGTGAGCTTTGTTGAGGGAGAAAAATTTGCCTGTTTATTTTTCCCTTCTAATTGAAATCTAGATGGAAAAGAATTGAGAATTCTTAAATCCAGTGGAGACAATGGTGTCTATGACCTTGTCACCAAAATAAATCACATTTTTTGGTATCATATTACAGTTTTTGCAGATACATAGGAATATTGTTTATGTTCATTACTCCTTTTTATTGTATGCTTAAAAATCTTGTTAGGTTGAGTGGAGTGGCTCATGCCTAAATCCCACCACTTTTCGCAGGTGGGAGGATCACTTGAGGCCAGGAGTTCAGGATCAGCTTGGGCAACATAGTGAGAACTGATTACAAAAAAAATTTTTTTTTGACACAGAGTCTCTCTGTTGCCTGGGCTAGCATGCTGTGGTGTCATCCTAGCTCACAGCAGCCTGCAACTCCTGGGCTCAAGCAATCTTACTGTCTCAGCCTCCCAAGTAGCTGGGACTACAGGCATGCGCCACCATGCCGGGCTCATTTTTTTAATATATATTTTTTCTTTTTTTTTTCCTATATATTTTTAGTTGGCCAATTAATTTCTTTCTATTTTTAGTAGAGACCCCGAGTAGAGACGGGGTCTCGCTCTTGCTCAGGCTGGTTTTGAACTTCTGACCTTGAGCAATCCTCCCGCCTCAGCCTCCCAGAGTCCTAGAATTACAGGGATTACAGGTATGAGCCACCTCACCTGGCCAAGAATCCTATTTTAAATAGTACTTAATTGTAACTTTTTAAAACTTAGTCTTGCAGACAAGGGGATAATGACTTCAGTAGTTCATTGTGTTTTTTTGTCACCCCTATTCTGAAGGAGACACAATGTCTGTCTCTGGGAAGAGGCAAAAAAGTCTGGATGACTCACAAAGTTGTCAAACGTTACCTGACTTAAATTCCTTTACAATAAATTCTGTAAATTTGAAAGCAATGTTCTCCCTTCCTCAAGTGCTATTGAGTTAAAATTTTGAGCACTGAGGAGACAGATTGCAATTTTTTCTTTTTTTCCTCTTTTTTATTTTTAAAAGTTTTTTAATTTTAAAAACAAAAACCAGAGGCTGGGAAAGATATATGTGAAGGGGAGGGGCATGAAAAGAGGTAAGTTAATGGGTACAAATGTAAGTTCTACTGTTTGATAGCATAGTAGGGTGACTATAGTTAACAAAGTGTGTTGTATATTTCAAAATAGCTAGAAGAGAGGATTTGATATGTTCCCAGCTCAAAGAAATGATAAATGCTTGAGGTGATGGATATCCTTAATAGCCTGACTTCTTGATCATTATACATTCTGTGCATGTATCAAAATAACACATATACCCTATAAAGATGTAGGAACATTATGTATCAATTAAAAATAATTTTTTTACATTTTTAATTGATACATAATTGTACATATTTATGGAGTACAATGTGATTTTTTTTCAGATCATTTTTTGCCTCTAATAATTTCAGCTGGTTGTGCTTGTTTAGTTGTTTGGTAGTGTTTTATTTTTTTTCTAGTTTTATTGAAGATGGGATCTCCATCTTGCTCAGGCTGGTCTCAAACTCCCGACCTCAAGCAAACCTCTGGCCTTGACCTCCCAGACTGCTAGGATTACAGGGTGAAGCACCACACCCGGCCCCTCCTGTATACTTTAGATCATTTCCAGATTACTTATACTACCTAATATTAATACAATGTGCTATGTAATTAATTACACTGTATTATTATCAGAATGATGATAAAAAAATCTATACGTGTTTAGTATAAATGGAACCATCTTTTTTCCGCATATTTTTGATCTGTGGTTGGTTGAATCTATGGATATGGTACCCATGGTTACAGAAAGCCATCTGTACTTGCAACCACTTACATAAGTAGCAGTAATTTTTATACATCCTAGGATGCTTTAATAACTCATAATTTTAAAAAATAGTAATTATTATTTTATTTTTTAGAGATAGGGTCTCACTATGTTGCCCAGGCTTGAGTGCAGTGGCTGTTCACAGGTGTGATCATACTGCACTGTAGCCTCAAGCAATCCTGCCTCAGTCTCTTGAGTAGCTGGGACTACAGGCATGTGGCACTGTGCCCGGTTTAAAAATTATTTTTAATTGTGAGATACATATAAAATTTACCATCTTCACTATTTTTAAGTACACAGTTCAGGGCCGGGCATGGTGGCTCACGCCTGTAATCCTAGCACTTTGGGAGGCCAAGGCCAGAGGATTGCTTGAGGTCAGGAGTTTGAGACCAGCCTGAGCAAGAGTGAGACCCGGTCTCTACTCTAAATAGAAAGAAATTAGCCAAATAACTAAAAATAGAAAAAATTAACCGGGCATGGTGGCACATGCCTGTAGTCCCAGTTACTCGGGAGGCTGAGGCAGAAGGATTGCTTGAGCCCAGGAGTTTGAGATTGTTATGAGCTAGACTGACACCATGGCACTCTAGCCCGTGCAACAGAGTGAGACTCTGTCTTAAAAAACAAAAGGACACAGTTCAGTGGTGGTATTAAGTATATTCTCACCTTGTTGTGTAACCACCACCACTGTCCATCTCTCATCTTGCAGAACTGAACTCTGTACCCATTAAACAATAATTCATTTTCTCTTCTCCCCAGATTTTATATAATTTAAAAAATTTTGTCTGACTTTAAAGTTTTCTACTTTTTAAGGTGATAACATTTAAAATTTTTATGTTAGCCTTGGATTCTGAATTAA